AATCCCAAGAAGGTCAACCAATCCCCTTGTAGTAATTTTTATATACTAAATAGTTTTTTTTTATAAATAATTATGATATCTGATATCTTTAATAGTTAACTGCCAAGAATTTAACTGCATATGTAGATGAACGGAACCGTAATTTTGGCAACACAAAATCAAGATACAGTATAATTTTTTTTACATGATGGAGATTAAAAATCAAACCAGATAACATAATATATCTCATCTCAGATATAAGATTTAAAAGGTATAAAGTATGCAGATCTTCTTCTTCTTCTTCTTTTCATTTAAGGGATAAAGAAGGTGCTTGTACAGATATTTTTTCTATTTATAAAATACAAATATATCAGTAATTGCTAATGAAATTAAAGAATATATATATATATATATATATATATATATATAAAAGAAAGAAACAATGGTAACATGTTTTTAAGAAAATAGAAAGACTATTAAAAACTTGGATTTGGATTTGGATTTGGATTTGCAACAAAACCTAAATGGAAGTGGAGGTGTAACAACTTTTAAATTAGTTGTATAAATTGAAATTCAAAGGTATTTCCATGGCAACTCCATTATTTGATGACAAGTTGCAAACCGGTGGTCAAACTCTTGGGTGGTTTTCCAAGTCAACACATTTCCTCTTTTGGGCAACAAGAAAAGAATTGCATCTGCTTAATGAAACATGCAATTTTTTCAATCTTAATGTTTCAAAGGGTCAAACTTAATCTACTTCCCTTTCACAAATGGTGGAGAGCCTATCCTATCTACATACAATAGCATCATCTTATTTTAATTTATACATACATGTTATTTTCTGTTTAGCTGGTGACAACTGAATATATTAAAAAGGGGACTTGTTAAATTGAACTGGCTGTAAGGACCAGTTACAGTTGTTCTTTATCAGTTACGCAATCTGAAGTATGGAATAGTTATGCCATAACTGGTTATGTGGTGACGTTTTTTTAAACAAAACTGAATATAATCCGATTTGGTAAATGGTTTTTGCTCATTTCTATTTTTATTTATAAACTACAATGACCTGGTTGAATTTGTTGTCTGGAAAGTATGACTCATTAAGTAATCTTTGTATAGAACCACTGCATAGTGGCCTTTTATTGTGTTATGCTCAAACTAAGGGTTTTGGCTTGTTTTTTTTTTTTTAAACTATTGACTCGTACGAGTTGATGATACAGGTAGATCCTTGTAATTAGATGGCTTGTAATTTCGTATTTGAATGGTTCTCAATTAGACGAAAATTACAAATAGTAGCTCAAGCTTGGGTTCAACTCATATAATCAAACCCAACTAAAGCTTGCCTAGTTTTTTGATTTGTCACACATGTTCGTCAAGCTAATAAATGGTGCACTCAGCTTGTTCTGTTTCCCCTCAAGATGGAAAAAATTGGTTATGGGCGGTTCCTTAATCGATTGTACCTAATCCAGACAAAAAGTTTCATCACATAACCAGTTATGTCATAACTTTTAAGACTGACCTTAGGTTTGCATTCAAGAGGGCATCAACTCAAGTCCCTTGGAGGATTTGTGTGATTGTTAACTTTATAATAACATGAGCTTAGTTGAAGTACACACAAAGTAGCTGAGACACAATGAGAACCACACATGACTATTGTGAGAACATGAGAACCACCTATTTCATCAATTATACATGAAGAATAACCCTAAAATATTATCATTGTCATTCATCGTGAATAACCATAAATGCATGTTCATCATTAATGATGAAGAACCCTAAATGCATGTTCATCATTAATGATGAAGAACCCTAAAATATCATATATTATATAGTGCGGCAGGTTCCATTAAGAATCTAAAATTGATTGGGAACCGGAGGACCACCCACAACAGAACATAGTGACATATTAATCAGGAATATGAATTATTCATCATGAATGTATGATTTAGATGAATCACACATTCATATTTATCATAAATGTGTATTCATGATGAATAAGACCAACAGATTCATCATAAATGTGTCATTCTTGATAAATATTCATCCTGAAAAGGTACACGTAAAGTGTTATGGGCGATTATCGGGTTTCTAATCAATTTTGGGAGATTCAGGTGAGTCACACATTCATATTCATCAAAAACGTATGATTCAAGATGAATAAGACCAACATATTCATCATAAATGTGTTACTCTTGATAAATATTCATCCTGAAAAGGTACACGTGAAGTGTTGTGGGCGATTACCGGGTTTCTAATCAATTTTGGATATCTAAAGAAACTTTCCTATATATACATAGGATGATAGTCAAATGAGAACCACAAATTGATTGAGAACCGTGAGAACCAATCTAAGCCTTAATTTGATTTTGATCATAATCTTGAATTGATAACAAAATGCATCCGGCATCATGAAACAAATACAAATTAAATAAACATAAAAATAAAACATTTTCATCCATGATCATTGACCTTTTGATACAAATTAGGATAATCTCATATAGGAATGGCAACGGGCCGGGTATTGGTATCCCCGTCCCCGAAACCGATAGCTAAAACCGTCCCCGTAACCGTCCCGATCCCCGTCGGGGATCTTATCGGGGATCCCCATCGGGTCCCCGCGGTTTCCCCGATCCCCGTTGGGGAACCCGTTAAGGGTAAAAATTCTATTTTTCATCATTGGTTATAACCGAACCCGAAACCGATATGAAAAAAATTACAATATGTTAATTTTCACAATTAAAAGTAAATTACAATTTTTTTAAAGATCTAAGTTTAAATGTCTCAAACATAATTGAACCAATTACAAACAATGTATTAGATTACAATATAAAACTAAACAAAAATTCGAACATCATACAACTAAAATTATGGTTTTTGACAAATAAACTAGACTTTTCGTGAGCTTTATTTGGGTTGTTGAGGTAAAGTGGATAATTTTTTTTAAAATTTTAATGTTACTTTTTTAAAGATATTATATATATATATATATATATATGTGTGTGTGTATATAAATTAAAATAAATATATATATATAGGGACGGGCCGGGCCGGTGATCACCATCCCCGCCCCCGTCCCCGTCCCGTCCCCGTTAAAATCCCCGAATTCGTCCCCGATCCCYGTCCCGCCCCCGATAAAATGTCCCCGAACCCGGCCCGAAAGTTTCGGTTTTCGGTTTTCACTGTCGGTTTCGGTTTTTTTTGTCATCCCTAATCTCATCACCGTTGAAGAACTCAAACTTCTCCTAATTCTCCTCGGCCTGGATACCAAAATGAACGAGCTGGATTATCCAACCAGGAAATGTTGGTCTGACTTTCGATGATTTCCAGGCGGTGCACATATCTTTCGACGATATGTCCTTTCACTTAGACGATTTCGGCAACTAGGCGGTTGGAGATGAAGAACGGGATGAGGTTGCCAGTTGTGATAGTAGCAAGCAGGATGAGGCCGATTTGACAGAGGCATTCAACTTGTTAGACCTAGATGGATGGATACATATCGGTTTCGAGATCTCAAATTATCTGTCCTCAAACTTCTAAAGTTTTCAGTAATATTACAAAAAATGTGACTATGTTTAATGACCTTTTGATTAGAACCCTTGGATAATTGAGATTGATCCTTGTGGTTCTCAACCGTTTTTTGTTTCACATGATATATATATATATATATATATATATATATATATAGGGGTGTGTTCAAATAAAAACCACTTAATTTATAAAAACCATGAAAACTTCATTCAACCAATCATAATTTTTCATTTTGTTCATTTTTTTGTAATTATGAGAGGTTGATTAACCATTTTTATTGTGGAGGGTGTTAATCATGGATATTATCATCTACATTATTTTAATTTTAAAGAAATGCATGAAACAGTTTCATTAAAATTTCATTAAGTAGTATATGAAACAAATTCATAAAAAAAAAAGTATATTATATGAAACAATTTCACAAGATTAACAATTTCATGAAAAAAAATTATAAGATTAACGATGGATGAGAGTAGTTTTTACGATTTTTACAAATTGGAATGATTTTCATTTGATCGTTCCTCTATATATATATATATATATATATATATATATAAAGATAAAATATGCAATTTAGGAGAAGTGATCCTACCGTCCAACTATTTTAATCAAAGGGACGTAATGATTTGTTTCCAAACAAAGATTCAAATATGAGCACCCCTTAAAAATAGGAAACAATTATTACAGGCTACAACCCTATGAAATCACTTTATTGATCCACCAAAATCGTTCCCCCACACACACATGCTGCAACCACTTCTAGTGATCCAAAACTGATATCTGATTGAGAAATGATAATTTGTAATGTCTTATCACACGTCATATTAAAAAGATATCACAAGTTATAAGTCACGATTACTTCATATTAAAAAGCATAAGTTAATCAATAAATTAGTCGTCAAAAATCAGTTGTGATTAAAAAATACATCATACACACATATTATATATCTTCTACACCATCATATGTGATTGCATACATCAAAATACTATGTAAATATCATGCCAATCATCACAAGTGATTAACAAACCCATCTACTGCATTATTATCATATCTATAAAAATATTCATATGTGATTGACAAGTAACGATTTATAATATGCCATATGTAATATTAAAGAGATACCACAAATGATAAAGGCCTTAATTAAAAGACATCAATACCCTTTTCAATTAAAATTTAATTACTCAAATAAATGGCAAAACGAATACTTTCTTGCATAATCCTCTATATAAAGCAAAGTTCCGTCAAGAATCCAAAATTGATTAGAAACTGGGAATCACCCACATTACACATCATGTCCAATTTCAAGATGAATAACTAATTTCATGATGAATATGAAAGTGTTATTATTATCAATCACACATTCATGATGAATATAGACATATTATTCATCATGAATCACTGATGAATAACACATTCATATTCTTGATGAACATGTCATATTGTGGACAGTTCCCAAATTCCTAAGATAGGGATAAAGAGGAAGTAATAATAGAATGAGACAACATTACACCATTGCCAACAAAAAGCGACTGATTACAAGTAGCCATAATAGGTTGAGTTGAGTTGAGACCTTGGATTCATAAATAGAAATACAACGAGGAAAAGAGAAAACACATACTATCTACAAACCATTGCCTCCTCTTTTCACCAAGTAAAATAGCATAATACATTACAGACAACGCTACTATCAAATCACTCCATCTTCTGCATATTTTACTCTTTGCCAAACAAATGGTATACATTGCAGCTGCAAGCCACATTATGTACAAATCCACCGTTCTCCGAATCCGCATCATACCTACAGTCTTTCTATGGTCTTTCCTTCCAATCCATAATATTCTTCGATTAGCACACTACATTCCTCATATGCTTCTTGTACTAACCATAAAGGAAAAGATAGGTACCATGTGTAACAGGTTGGGGGGAGGATGAAGCTACGTTTAACTCAAATCAAATCCCGCTTCAGCATTTATAGAATATAACAGCTTCTGTTCCATGTGCTCTTTACTGCAGCAGCATCATAAAATTTCAACAAACGAAACAAAACGAGCCAAGCCAAGTATATCCTACCCAAAGGTGGCACCCGGTAAGATGGCCCCCCGGGCATAAGACGTACACAGATCCGACCTCTGCCTCAAAGAGTAGAACAGCTACCAAAGGGCCTTTGCCTAGTGGTACCCTGTAACCCCTCCTTCCTGAAGATCAGGGGTTCAAATCCTCACCAAATGCGAGAATTGTGTGTTTCAACTTGCCGTATATAAAAATTATATTTACTTTAAAAAAAGAGAGCAGAACTGTTGTTCCGTGAAGACCCTCGACTTGTGAAAAGTGTGTGAAAGAGGAAAGCATGAATGCTAAATTTTCAAAAGCTGAATATATGTAAATGATAGCAATACAAACAGAAGCAAGTAACGGAAAAACATAACCCAAGGTGTGGAACTTTGGTTATTTGCCAAAACAAAATTGATAGAATGCATATGAAACCGGCTTTTAGTCATAAATTAATAGACCAAAAGCAACATATAACGACTTTGGTAACTGTTGCCTAAATAGAGGACCTTAGGTGATAATTGAACAACAATACCAGGTCAAGAGAAGATTTACAGCAGTAGTTGCATTAAAAAAATGACAAACCTTCTATATGGAGGAAGCTTTAACAGATTCATACAAGTAGCTGATGTGGGTAACCTGTCAAGAGCTTCTTCAGAAGCACTACCAGCAGCTCTGTAAGTAAAAATTAAGGCAATGAACAAACAAAACCGATAGTAAATTACACAAATTACATCACAAGAAAAGGCATCATACCGTTGTATACAGAATAAAGGCTCCAAATACTTGAATCCTAGCAAGGGCCCTCTTGAACATCCAGTCACAAACCTGAGAAGATGTTTTGTGATGCCTCGATTTTTAATAAGTAACAATGCATTTGAAGCAAGTTAAAGTTAACTATTGGGCAATATAGTATATATTTATCTTGATTGGCACGTAATTTGATAAACAGTGGTGTCAGTTATGTTAAGTAAAGGAAGTAGGATATATGAAGCTTTGGAAACTAGAGGACTAGCTTGTAAATCTACTTTGATGGATGACCTAATTCGAGAGAATGTGTGCCCCTCAAATGGTTTTGCATGGAATTGGGATAAAAGCTGAAACTAAGGGGCTGTTTACCTAACATTTACCAGGTAAGTGCTTATCGGCAAGAGTCACAACCTTCACTAACCTTATCGGGTAACATTCTAGACCGTCAAAATGAGTTGTTGGTAAGCATCTCTTACCCAGTAAGCTATAACCGGGTAAGAGTCTTCTCCCTCACTTACCGGGTAAGATTCTTGGTCCCTTCCATATTCACCCGGTAAGGTAAGTGACACGTGGTAAATGTTTGGTAAACGGTCCCTGACTGAAGTACGATCAGTTCAAAAGTAATTAACGTTGACTACAGTTTATAATGGGTGCATTTTCCAACTCTTCCCATGTTCCTATCACTCCATGAATGAATTGGCCAACTCCTCAATCAACTCCATATCACTACAGTACCTCCTCTAATTTGTAGCATTATGTTGATTAACAAGGTTTCTTCTACCTCTTTTAAGTGTTTGCATGATACTAGTTAGAACTAATCTAAGTTGTTGAGGGAGATTGAAACAAAGTCGGAGGTACTTAGTGATGCAAGTTAAAATCATTTGCGGTAATTTGATTTAAATAGTTTGAGTCATTACTCTCAATGTGTCCAAGGCTCTAGTAGACAACCAATGCCTGAGGAAATATATGCTTAAGAGAAGGACACTGTTGGGTGTAATTAATGGGTGTTCACCATGACACTAAATCCCGATGCTTCTCCTGCTCGCGTAAAGAGACGGTAGCAAAAAGGATACTCCTAAATACAAGAAGAGAAATACAAAAGAACATTTAGTCCTATAGCAAAAAGGACATTTGTTTGCCTCATTATGGCTCAAGCAAGTATTCATAGAAACCCATTATATCAACTTGATATCAAGAATGTATTTCAAAGAAAGGTCATGGGAACTCAAGTACTTCCAAGGCATTGAGGTGGTCAGATCTTGAAAAGGCATTTTCATTTGTTAGAGTAAGTATGTGGACATCCTTGTTGATATAGCCCTTTCTCTCATATTTATACTCCATTCTAATTGATTCCCCCCCCCCCCAACGACCGCACACACTATGATGAAGGCCAACAAATTGCCGTCATCCCTCCACTTTAGCCTAGCTATTACTTATTGGCTTAGATCCTACTAACTACCACTGCCATTGATGTGTAACAAATACTCGCCCCCAACTTTAACCTTGCCCTTTAGGTAGAAAAAAGATGAAAAAAATGTTGATTCAATCGCATTCCATCAACAACTAGAGACGGTGGTAGCGATGGCAATGGTTCTTGATAATCGTCCCCTAACTAGCTTCTCCTCATCAAAAGGTCGTACGTCTTCGTCATCTTAAGCAATGATCTTATTGAAGACGCCTCTACCTTGGCACTTCATTGTAAATCGATCCCCCTTCTCCAGTTTCTTTCTCGACCCCAAACTCATCCTCCTCCTTTACAACCCGGATACTTATTTCCTTCTTCATGCATTTGAAGCCTAGGAAAAGTTTGTTGTTTCCGAGTTAGTGATTTCTCGATGCCCAACAAACACCCCCTGCTCCTCATAGATTGTCTACCCATAACAAAAACATCATCACATGTGTTCTCCAATTTGTGAATGTGGTTCCGTAAGTTCCGAGCATTGTATATATACCCCTAGGATTGCATCAGAATTCCCCAGAGAAATTAAAATTCAACCATGCTCCTACCTCTTGAAAGCTGATTTTTTAACTCCCTACAAATGCATATTACTTTCAAAGCCTCTCTAGTTCCACCGATTGTACTCGCTAGTAATTAAAGCTTTCTCGAGGAACTTTTTCTCAATGAATTGTGGGTGGCATTTTTATCAATGAGTACCACTACTCTAAGCCCCTCATTAGTGTCCACTAACTTTATTTTGGATTAATCAAACCTACCCCATAGTTCATGTGTACCTCAATTTTTGGTCCAAGATCTATGCCTCCACCACTGTCCAACAACTTTATATTTTCTTCCAACTTGTTGTCGTTGTCATTTTACCATTCATCGAAAACTCAGCTTGTCCAACAAACCTCAATCATGATTCTGGAAGAAGAGTTGTTGACAAGTGCCTATAATATTGTGCTCACAATTTCACCGAAGTATCTACTTTTTTGATTGATGGTAGTGTAGTAGTTGATGGTGCAACGCTTGATGAAAGAGGCTAAAGCCATGAATTTCCTCCTGTCATCATAAAATGCCACACTAAACTTCCACCAAATCTTGATCCAAATAGTCATAACAACATCGTCTTGAGTTTATTCCATCTCTTAAATGGTCGGCGTCGGTTCTCCGGTTGGAACCCCCGTAAAACATCTCCCTCAAAACGGGTTGTGGCGACATCAATCTTCTACCTTTATATGAAAAAAACCGAGTTGACTCTGGAGCTCGCTTCTTCCCTACCAATTTCGTTTCCACCGGTCACAACTTGTCCTCCTTGGATTTCCATGGCAAGTTGGCAACCAACTCATCATCTGCATTTTGAAAACAACTGCAATAATTTCCTTGCCATTTGCATATTTGCCTTCAACAAGCTATCTGCCAACCACACCTTCTCCAAACTCACTTCCATTTCATCCACGTGCATCGAGATACTTCTGGACAAAATTCTCAATCAAATGATGATCTGAGTACACTGATACCAATTGAGGGCCTGTTCAGTCAGAATTGCTTTCTGGTGATGTCGTGTTGTCACGACTCCACCCAATTTGCTTAGAAATCAATTTTTTAACAGTTGGATTCACTGCAATAGTTATACAAAGGGTATTCGTTTTACAAACACTAGAAAAAAAGGGTAGTTTTGTCTTTTGGGCAGGGAAAATTAGTAAAGTTGTAATTCTGTAACAGAAAATAACAAATTCATATTGTCAAGGGGAAATAATGAACAGGGATATAAATAAGAAGACTAAATATACAAGATGCATTCATTGATTGCATAAACCGAGTGGGAGAGAATATCCATGCCTCTAAAGTGCTATTAATAAAGCATTCAATTTCAAGTTTTGATTGTTGGTTACTTAACTGATTGCATCAATTGGTATTAGGGTGGTGTTCTTGGGAGATGACGAGATATGCAATGACTAGGGCAGAAGAAAGGGGGGACACAGTTTCGTCGATTGAAGAAAACATGAATAATGTCACAACAATTGAATACGTTGATTCGGTTGCAAGAGGCGGCAAGGAGGACAACGAGCGGCAAGGAGAATTTCATAGAGGGAGAAAGACGTGTTCAGAATGAGGATCGGGGGTCAGAGCACGATTCATTTTTGGCCATCAAGGGGCGACGGTTGAAGATGCCGATCTTAAATGGTTTGAATCCTGATGGTTGGATTATGAGAGTAGATAGATATTTCGCGTTGAGTCGATCACTAGTGATGAGAAAATGGGGTAACGGTCATCTTGTTTGAAGGTGATGCCCTCAAGTGCTTCAGAAGGAGGCAAAAACAAGATGGAAGGAACTCTAGAACTTAATGTGAAGTTGAATAGAGGATACAAGCAAAAGAAAGGGGGGATACGCGTCTAGAGGTTAAAGGGGTTACAAACGATGGTGGGAAATTATCAAGGCCTAAAGGAGGAATGGAATTTGGAAAGTTGTCTGATAAAGAATTATAGTACGACAATCACAAGGCTTACGCTACCAATGTGACGAGAAATACTCTTTGGGGCATCGTCGTGAGAAGAAAGAATTAAGAGTGGTTGTGTTACTCTTTGGAGTGAAGTCAGTGATGAAAACGGCACTGAGTTGGTCAATTTGAATCAAGGACAGAGGGTAACGGTATATCTGAACTCAGTGGTAGGATTTGTGACACCGATGGTCGACGTTCTCTCCTCCCATCCTCTCCTCTCCCTACCGGTCGCCGWATAGAACTCTTCTTTGCCGTTCTGCCGAGTTCCAGAAAGCACCTAGCTGTCGAGCTAGTTTTGACTCCTCCTAATAAGCTCGGCCACCGAACGACGACCCCTTCTTGTTGCGAAGGGAAGTTCGGAAAAGCCTAGCAGACGGGACTATCAACCACCGAAGACCATGATGTTGGAGGGAATGGTGGGAGATCAGAAAGCAATGGTGTTGATTGATAGTAAAGCATCACATAATGTCATATCATCGGCACTGGTAGAGGTTGGGTTAACAAATTAGGCAGACAAGGGATACAACATATGGAGCAGGGGAGGTAGTATGAGGACAAAGGTTGAATAAAGGAATGCAAGGGATCAAGATTTTAGAGGATCTCTTACCTCTAAAATTAAGCAACTCAGACATTTATTTTAGGGATTAATGGTTGCAAACCTACGATGCAAGTGAACTGGGGTACACGAACAATGAAATTTCAATTGGGAACTGAACAAGTCAAATTAAAAAGGGATAAAACATTAGGAAGATCGTTTGTGTTCTCAAAGTAGATGTAGAAGACACTAAAGGGGGCGTTTGGTTCGTAGATTCTGATGGAATTGGAATGTTGAATTCCATTGACCAAATTTCATTACCTCATTTGGTTCATTCTTTTTCATGGAAGGAATCTTCAAAATCCTACATATACCACAAATAAAGGAATTTAGCATTCCTTAGCAACTACATGGTACTTTGATGGAATGGAATTCTCTATATTCATAATACCAAATATGCTTTTAACCCTATATACCCTAATCTCATAAAACCCAATATGACCATTGTCAACCACCTTCGACCACCATCGATTTGAATCACCGCCGACCACCGTTGATCTGAACCACCACCGGCCACCGCCAATCTGAACCACAGCCGATC